GTCCTCGGAAATTGGCTTTGAACTGTTCTCCCTCGGTTGGTGTTTCCAGATCCTGGATTTCGTGATGTCCTATGATGAGAATTAGATATTACCTAGAAATGCAGCTTCTCAGTTCCGCGCTAATGGAATATTGCCTCGTCAGTGAATATGTTGGAATGAACCCTCATTGTCCCGTCTGAAACAAATTGGGGAGCGTAACCACACTGAAACGCGACCAATACTGCGACGGGAGAATAGGCTATGCGGCAGCGAGTAGTCTTTATGGAACATAGCTTTTCAAGACTCCTTTCTCAAAACTTCACATTTCATATTTGCAAGGTCTAATTTTTAAGGAATGCCCATTTTGCTAATGTAGGTTGTTGGAAGGTAACTTTCAGTCTACAAGAGCGTTGCAAATAACCCTTTTGTCCCTACCTGGGATAACACTAAGCACCTATTGCACAACCCTTGCTCAGGCCAGTCACGCCTGTCAAAGCGCCACCACAATTCTACCGCAGTAGCCAGGTTATGAGGCACTGCTGTTTCCATTTTGCACATCTGTCTTCGTTCCAACCAGCCCGACACACCGTATGTATCGATCGGTGAACTTGCCCTGTGGCGTGCTGTAGGTTGACTCCAACTCAACCATCCGCGCTTGATCCAGCGGTTTCAAGCTGGGCGACCCTGGCAAACACACATGTACCCACTTGCATGCGCACGGTCGTTCTACACCCATGTGACCTGGTGAGACATTTTGAGATAGACCAACATCTACTATTGGACAGTTGGCAATTTATTGCGCTCTACCTCACACCCGAAAGAGTGACCCTTTGTCCCGCATTAACAGAGTAGAGGGACCAACCTTTTGGGACAGACTGTATATCACATGCAAAATGCCGACAACTCTGTGCTCCATCTCCGGAGTGCATTTAGGTGGTTAGGAGACTACGAACACGAGGCATGTATCGTCGTCCTGCAACCACAGTTCACACGAAAGATCAATGACACACGTTTGAGTATCATCTATGAGTTCGCAGCGAAGGTTTGTTTTGTAATAAATGGTCGCTCACCCTACCCTACTCCTTCTTTCCTTCCAAAGAACTGACATACGGAGTAAAACAATCTCAATGTCAGAAATTTCACAGCTCAGCCAACTTTCGGTGATCATTATGATACCTAGATGCCTTGGAGCCTGACGGTGACGGAGTTCGACCATCATCATCATCATTATACACGTCAGCTAGAGGTGGGAAACACCTTAGCTACTGTGCCGCAATACATTAAGGAAAAAGGAAAATAAATACAAAGGTTGCATGCCAGCTGAGCTAACAGCAACGGATAGGCATCGTTCCGGTAAGCTACCAGCCAGCTACTAGGCAAAAAGAAAAATTATTATGTTTTACGCTAAGAAATGAGACCGTAGGTGGAGAGGGAGACTAAAAGGGATGGGGAGGGACAAAGAAACTTACAGCAGGAACGCCACTGAGTTCGGCTCCTTGCCATGTCAGCAACTGTATCCAGTCAAACGTGTTCCTCGTCTTTCGGACCACAACCAGGGAACCGTGAAGCTCCAACCGAGGCCAGCACAGAAGTGAGGGCCTTCATTGCTCCCGACCAAGTCGTCGCTTGGCCACCCCTCCTCTTCTTCCATCCACATCCCCGGTGAGCAGACAACGCACGTCGTGGAAGTCGATGGGCTGGCATGCGCAACACGTGGCCCAGCCATCGGAGCCTGGTGCGTGAAATGACGGTACTGAGCGGTTCAGTCCCTTTTCTTGTGCTGTAAACAAGGCGTCGAACACGCTCGTTACTCACGCGGTGTTCCCACTAGACGTTAGTCAAACTGCGAAGACACCGGTTGTCGAACGTAACTAGCCTCTTCATGTCCGCCGATTTTGGGGGCCAGGTCTCGCAACCGTACAGTAAGGTCGAACGTACCGCTGCATTGTACACTCTACCCTTCAGAGCGAGAGTAATGTCGCGCCGGCGCCATAGGTGGCGAAGGTTAGCAAAAGCACTTCGAGCTTTTGCTATACGGTTCGTGATCTCATCTTCGATCCCAAGGGCGCTGATACAACTTCCCAGGTAGTTGAATTTCCGAACGACCAACTTATTAATAGGGTCTTGAGCGTTAGTATACAAGCAGATCAGTGTTTCAGTAACCAAACGTGAACTAAGAATGGAGATCTTGCATACTGTTGAGGGGTCGGCCACTAGCCGTTTTTTGTGGGGTCGTTGGCCTTGTAAGTTCGGTTGGGTTACACGACTGCTCTTGACTGTCCTTGACCTAGTGAGCTCCCGTGTTTAATCTTATTACGTCGGATGCTAAGGTTGCCATTAAAACAATCCCTTCACCTAGCTGTATGAGAAGAAGATGCACCAGTTTGGTCATCCCCACCCATGACCATGTACCCGCTGCCTTTAACCGAATTTCTGTGGGCAGCTTCTTGCGGAATTTAGACCAGTATTTTTTAATATAAGTGGTGTCATTGGCTCAGACTGAAGTACCACCTTAATCAGCCGGGGACCGTTCCCCTTGTAGTTGGGTGAAACTGAAATTCTTGTCGGCCGCTTTGCAACGATACTGTCTGAGAAGTGTTTCTGGCGGATGTAACTCCATTGCTCCCAGTCGTGTGTCACTGCTTCTTCAGAGGAGGATGTTTGAAGCTCAGGAACACCATAACCAATAATCATTCGTTTTTCGTCAACTTTACGGACTTCCTCACGGTTGATATACACCTTCGGACGTTCGTTCCTAAGAATATCCGGAAGTATGCGCACCTCATGTGATGAGTTATGGAGCCGAATCGAAGATGTAGAACGCCTCGGTGTCGTCAACTGAACTCAGTGTCACTCGGAGTAGTCGAGGTTCATTGTAATGCACTGAACTTTGGTGACGTGAGACCCGTCTCATTGTCTTGGGCTCAATTGAAATGTTAACTGTACCACAAATGGAATTCCACTGATTACTGCCGCCCATCAGCTTACCTTTTATGGTACTAGATAGCGATTTTGCAACCTTGGTTCACACAATAGTTAAGGAACCGTGATTTCTTTTGGCTGTAGATTCGAGGGTATTAATTAATACCTTTTAAACGGTTTGGTTGGTTGTGGAAGCTGCGTCATCCTAATGTTGCTCGGTGCTGCTACCGGAGTGAAATACCAAGTGACACCTCGGCACAGTCTCCTTAAACAGCGTCTAGGGATCTCTCACATCAGAAAATAAGGAATTTTCCGATGTGTCGCATTCATTAGGGCCGAAAGAGCAGTGCATTCCGTTCGTTAGTTCCAGCATTCTAGACTACTATTTGTCCAGTGGCCATAAGACCAAGGCGCTTGCCTTGTAGTCCGCAAGTCACCGGTTCGGAGCCGCATAGGTGCGCGTTACTTCGCAGTAAACGTAGCTGTCGCGCGACCATTAGTTGTCGTGTGGCAGCGAAGCCTCAGTACGGTGTGTCGGTGTACTGCTGATACTTTACCTTATTTCACGATGATCACGGTTACTATTGAACTGGCCTGTCAGCACCTTCTGCTTACAATGTCGTTTTCAACTCACCCCTCCCTTATTGGTCTCGCGCAACTGAGGAACGCAGTTGAAGGCAATAGGGTTCACCATATCTCGGTCTATCAAACAAATCGAGCGGTGACGCGTGGGCTTCGCGCAGGCATATACCGAGTCGTTAGGTAGTAGTATTTGAGTGTAGCGAGCAATTCGAGCATGTTTCGTAACCAATTAAGGTGAGCTTGAGTACAGATTTTAACACGTGACTCTATTACTGCCATGGATGTCTTTTCATCAGAGCACGCGTTCGAGCTTCCGCTGTACGAATTACGCTCAGCTCTACATTTCAGTAAATCCGAATGGTTCCATTTGCCAGACCAGAGATCATTTGATCAGATTGCACAGGGAAGATCTGGTTTCATGGCGAGCAGTTATGAGTCGTAGACTTCCCACACAAACTCAGTTGATCTTTTGCATCTACCAATTATGACCCATGAACGTCGGTTCCACAACGCTACAAAATTAGCCACGTCCCCATCGGTACTAAGCAAATCGCCATGACTGGTGGTGGTCTAAATCGTTCTGGTCTATTGAAACCTTAGAGTCGGTTAGATGATTTTCCTCGTTCTTCTTGAGAACCGCAGTACCGCAACAGAGATCTCTGGCTGTAGGAGGCTTGCTTCTAAAAAAAACATAGGTCTGCATGGCATAACTGCTGACTACTGGCTACCAAACAATTCCACTGGAGTGTTTTTTCGGGGTATAAAACATATTATATTGATTAATGCCACCATGCGGAATGTGCTGCTGTTGCTTGAAGTTCATACAGCAAACAATTTGACCTTCTTGGATGTCTTAATCACCCGAAATTTCTGTCTACGTGCTAACCAATACTTTGGAACGCTGACTATCTACGTTTGACTTAGCAATCGGGATAAGACAAAAGCGGAAATGTTCGGTAATCAAAATGTCATGGAAGTCCACTACCACTTTCTCAGTGTAGTGTTCCCATCCAAGTGCAGGGTTGGCATTTTTATCTCTAAACGAAAACTTTTTAAGTGCATTCGCGAAGGGACGACAATTTGATCATTCTCACTGCGTCCACAAATGCATGCTTGCAGCTGAGCTATTCACCGTGTCCCAGATACTCATTACGTCGTGGTCTTTATGCGACAGATACGTTTGTCTAACTGATAAGAATCGATTTGTTGCTTGACTAATGTGGTCGGAATTTGTCGATTTGTTTTTGATCCTGGTGATTCGAGGCGAACCACCAACGAGCGTACTCGTTCTCTGGATAGTGTGTGCTTTTCTACGATTGCATTAGCTGGTCTCACGCAGTTCATTTCAACAACATGAAGCATAAAGCTAAGTCAGTCATTTAACCAGTGCATGGGGTAATGCCAAATGTCTAAGTATTCTTGCCAACTGGCTTTTTATTCAGTGGAATCTGAAAGTGTGCACTGTCAGAGAGCTTGGAATGCACTTGAGAATTAAGAAACGATACTTCGTATTTCAGAGCGAGCCAGCGAAAGCGACCGGTCGATATCTTTCAAGGACGCCGACAAGAGGCTCAAATTTTGCAAACACTACAGTGAGCAGTACAAACCCGATTCAGACCTCCACCTCTTCGTCACTCCCGGACAACTCAGCAACTGGACCTTGTCACTACCCACGAAGGTCACCATGCAAGAACATTCCTGCGGCTACAGGTTACAGTGGATCTACATCGGGCAACAGCTCCTCATGGAATTTGGTAATATTTTGCATGTGGTACATTCTAGAATTATCTCATGGGATTTGTGTGGTAAATTTTCGTATCTACAGCAATTCTTTGAATGTTGCAGTATTGTGTATGATTCAACAGCCTAAAAAGTAGTAATGAATAGATTAAAAGTCATTGTAAGTCAACATAGGTGGAATAGATTGATAGATGATTAACCGCCAGGCTCCACATAGATGACGAAATGATAATCAAACCTTCGCTTTTCCAAATACTTTTTCCAGTCGGATACCCACTGTGAACTAGTAGGAACTGCGAGGTTCTAGACATCCGCTGCGCGAGTCGGTGAACCAGCGACAGACGACCAGTTTCCTGACACGGTGCATAATAGCCTTCTTGTGGTGTCATAATTTGGAAAGGAACCGCCGAGCTTCTATAATTTCGGAAGATTTTAAAACACAAATCGGTTGCATAAAAGCTTGTAGTATACCTTCAAGTTGTGCAGTAGCAAACCAACAGATGAGAAAAAGCCGTGGAAAGTATTCATTTCCAGGTAAAGTCAGTATGATTTGCGTTCTGAGTACAAACTCTTGCAAAACAATTGCTGTCCGAGTAAACAGATAGAGACGAACATTTTACATTGCATCTTCCGTGTAGACACCAACAAAAAGGAAGTACATGCATGTGAACGTTTGGGCAATCGATTATTGTTAATGGAGAGGCCATGGCAAAACAGCACATTCCACTCTGGTCCCAAATTTACAGAAAGCTGTCCATGCGCATACATTTACCAGCATGACCCTACCAATATCCACAGCCTCAGTAAATATATGGAGGTTGGTGTTGAGGCGTCATTCGTTTGACAGGCAAAAGTGTACGTCTGCAGGTGATCTAGTGGTTTTTCTGATCACGAGACATGAGAAAGCAGGTGCTGGGTTAGTTTCTCGTAACGAATCTAATGCAGTTAATTATTTCAGGTCTCATCACCTTATCGGTTCTGCGGATGCAGCTTGTTTCTTAGTTCTAATCAATTTCTAGCATGGAGCTCCTGAGTTCAGTTCATTGCTTTCGTGCCCTAACATTCGCATCAACACTCATTCGATCTCCTTGGAATCGTGTTCCACATGTCTGAAGTTTCCCATTGTTTCTAATTACTATTACACATAGTGTGACGCCAGTTGTCCCAACCCAAACCGTAGGGGTATGGACGAATTTAACTCTAGTGGCGTGAACGTGCAAACTTTCGGCTACAGGAAGAGTTGGCATCACTACGTAGTACTTCCTTCAGTTGAGATGAACGCATATTCCTTCCTGAACTATAACGACAGTTTCAGTAGCATGACACATCTCGTACAAAGACATTGTGTGCTTCGCGACTTTTCGCTGGTGAAATTCCTTTTGGGTCGGTTCGTGACCTTTGTATGACTACTGCGAGCACCCAGATGGCAGAAGTAGATCAGTGCTCTATGCTGCTGCTTCCTACCACGCGACCGCAAGCGGTCGTACGTGGGGTTTGGTATCGCAGCAGCACTCAGATCCATGTGCAAGCGAGGATCCGAAACCGGGAAGGAGGGTATGAGCCAAAGACCTGGAACATTTCTCTGTGGACTTCCACGCTACCGAGAGCCAACGCCGATCAGTCGTGTGTTGCTGCAAATCTTAATAGATATTCCTTATTTATGAGCACACATATCATTAGGATTAATTCTACAACAACTCTACACAACTTACACACATTTCTCCCTCAGGGCAGAATGAAGCTCTAGCCAGCCTCCATTTATACTGCACTGGTGTTAAATAACGCTGGAAACGCAGTGCAAAATGAATGTACTTATCAGTCACGGTCTTCTCACCGTAACAGCTTCGCAGTCTTGCCTATAGAAAATGGATTTGTCCATAACTACTACGCAGGTGAAATCATTAAGGAACAATATAGGGGAACTAGATCACAGGCGTCTGTTCGTTGTATGAGCGGACCCGTAGAATTTGCAGTGTAATGTAGACATATGGGAGGCCACGCACTGCATTGACCAATGGCCTTTCACTGGGACTCCGCATTTCGCAAGTGTGTGTTTGCCACCATTTTAAGGGAACTTCGCACATATTTGTCTGAGATGTTGGTGTACCCTACTAGTTGCGTCTTGATAATTATTATGCAATTGTAGGTTGCGCCAAGAGCACCACCAGAGGATATGATGTGGCCCATATCGAAGGCATTCGATCGCTTAGATCAGGGGTGTCCAAACTTTTCGCAACGAGGGTCACATTTTGTGAGGTAAAAATATGACGGGCCATATTCAGTCTGATATTAGGATAATAACAAAATTATACGTGTACGGAAAAAACAAGCCTGAATTTATTATTTCATGATGAGGCCGCGGGCCAGTTAAAATGTCAACGCCAGCCGCATTTGGCCAGCGAGCCCGACTTTGGACACCCTTGGTTTGGCTCATCGGATTATCTTTTCCAAGCTCTAATATTACGGCGTCCATGATCCTCTGCTGAGCTGCATCACCAACTTAATCCTGCAGCGACAGTTAGTGGTCTGACTTCGGAGTTCTATATCTGACCCCCAACCAGTCGAGTCTGGTTCACGATTGTTTTTCGTATTCATTAATGAATTTGCATAGAAAATCGCTTCAAATTTCCTGCTGTTTGATGACGTTATCAAGATATGGCGCCGGATTCACGCGGATACCAATCAGAATTTACTCTGGTGTGACCTAGATATGGTACATGAGTAGTCTACCCGAAATCCGTCACAGTTCAACGTGGACAAATGAAAGCTACTCTCCATACGACACCAGAGTACCTATTCGTACAAGATAGGAATGCAAGTACTGCAGCGATCATCCGTCGAACGCGACCTTGGCGTGCTGGTTCAGGATAACTTGGGTTGTTCCAAGCAATCTGCAAAGGCATCGAAAACTGGTAACCAACACGTCGGGTTGCTACGACGGGCGTACGGACAAATAGACACCTCGATTTTCAGACGGATGCTGAATGCGTATATTCGCCCCCATGTCGAATACGCAATAAAAGTCTGGCAGCCTTGGCTGAAGCACGATCTCACTGCACTGGACCAACCTCAACATCGGGCTTCTAAATACGTCATTGGAATGCGCTACCTTACATACGAGCAGAGGCCGAAACGTTTGGGAGTATTCAGCAGGCAGTATCGCCGACTACGAGACGACTTGATTATACCGTACTTTATGGTACACAATCCAAATCATGTGTGCAGCTCTTTACTGCAACGCAGCAGTAATACCAAACTTAGAGGGCACTCCTTGAAATTAGCAGAACAGCAAAGCCGCCTGGCGTTTCGTAGAAATTCCTTTTCCATTTGTGTGTCAACCATGGAACGTTCTCCCCGGGTCGGTTGTTTCTGCACCCACGCTAGCCATATGTAAAAGTCAGTTGGATGACGCACTCCGTCGCTTACATCTTATTGCTTGACGCCACTCTTCATCTGGGAAATGCCTTGGATTTGTTTTTTCGCCGATTGAAAATATGAAAACACTTGGATTGCAGGGTTACTGCATTACATACGATAAGTCCATTCTTTTGAAAGTAGAACTACTAACTACCTTTTTCATTAACTTTTTCGATAACTCACCAGACTACCCAACGGGGCCTGTAAAGCAAGGTTTCTTAATCCGTATGAAATCATTGCTCATTGTACAGGGGCATAAAAAGCTGAATGTTTGAGCCGTAAAATTACCAAACATCTAAGCGCCGATATCCTTGTTCAGTAAGCACCTTGCAGATGAAAGGCGGAAACAGGATATATGGAGTGAACAACGTACTAGCCATCAGGTTTTGTTCAATAGAGCACAAAAGGGCTGCTTGGCACTAGTTTGCGTTCCCGGAAAAGATGCATATAACTTCAATCAAAACAGCCTAAGACGGTATTCAGTGCGGTGAAGCAGCGAATTCAATGTGGGAGAAGTTAGATCATGGGCTGTTCTCCCTTTGTATGGCTCAAGTGAAACGACGGCCAATTTGAGCAGTATCTACTGGGGTGTTGCAACGGTCATTTCAAGGATGCACTCGATCACTGACAGCGCGAGAATAGGAAAGATATATCGAAGTTAATCAGAAATTCTCACAATTTCATTCGGTGTGCAGTCTAGAAACTGGCCATCTAAACGCATGAACATGAAACTTCACTGGTGTGGTATTGAAAGCTAGAATGTGTTGCGTGTTAATTTGAAGGGATTTACTCTATTGCCTACTTTGCATTAACCTTCAGTACGGAAAGAAAGCTTTGTTTTCAACCCACTGGCGGTTTTATTGAAATACAGTCAATAATAACAAGATCGAGGTAAAGGAGATGTGATTTGGGAGAATAGCGGATTAACACCAAATCCGCATCTATGATCAACAGAGAATGTCTGAAGAAACCGTCCCTCTCCCATTCACCTCGCTTATCATACCAGTCCTTGAATACGGCGTCCCAGCTTGCTATCCGATAATCCAGTGCGAAACGGAAAAGCTGAAGAAAATACGGCACATCGCAGCTAGAATGATTCATAGTCTATGAAAGCTTCTGTCTGAAAAACGTTGTGGAAGGCTCGGACACTGTCCTACCGCCGAGTATGTATTGACCTTATTATGACCCATCAAACACTATACCTGAATCACATCCTTATACTGCAGCCAATATTTCACCTGCGGGAACACTGTAACACTTGAGGACACCGTTTCCAACTTAGGGTCCCATGCATGAACAGGGTATCACCTCAACTTCGTATAGAACGCTGAATCGTAGACTAATGGAATACACTACCAGAAGGACTAATAGAGGCTGACTCGGTGAATTGTTTCAAAACATGTATGGACGATTATTTCGGAAACCTGTGCTTTTGTGGAATGATGCACAAATATCCGTACGCGGAAGAAGACAAAAAACTATAGGCAAGATCAGTTATTGAGGGATTCAAATGTAACAGGAGTACAGAAAGTAGAAATCAAGTAAGGGCCGAATTTACGCACCCAGTAGTTGTAACACACCTAAGCCAGTGATGACA